ATGGGCGACTTCCCGTGGCTCCAATCACCAGCCAAAAGGGCACCCTGATCGGTGTATTTTGTATGGAGAACCGCTGCTCCCGGGTGCCGACAAAGCAGCTGCGTGGGGCAAAGGAGCGGCGCCGGCAGGCACAGCCATGCTGGCCGAAACGGCTGCGCTGGCAACTGTGGAGCTCCTCCGCCTGGGAATTTCCTAGTCTGTGGGCAATAAAAACGCGGCGTCCACTCACCCTCTGTGCTTTCACTGGGAGCAGCAATCCAGAGCTGTTCCTAAACGGCCATCTTGAATCCTCCGTGAATGAGTTCTTATGAGATTTAATGGTTTTATAAGTATCTGGCATTTTCCCTACTTGCACTTATCTCTCCGGTTACCATGTGAAGAAAGTCCTCTCTTCCTCTTCACCTTTCACCATGATTGTAGGTTTCCTGAAGCCTCTCTAACCATGTGAAACTGTGAGTCAATTAAACTTTTTTTAAAAAAATGAACTACCCAGTCTCAGGTAATTATAGTAGTGCAAAATGGACTAATACTGTAAATTGGTACTGAGGTGGTAGGGCACTACTATAAAGATACCTCAAAATGTGGAAATGACTTTGGAACTGGGTAATGGGCAGAGGTTGGAACAGTTTGGAGGTCTCAGAAAAAGACAGGAAGATGTGGAAAAGTTTGGAACTTTCTAGAGACTTGTTGAATGGTTTAGACCAAAATGCTGATAATGATGTGGAATATGAGGTCCAGGCTGAGGTGGTCTCAGATGAGGATGGGGAACTTAACAGGAACTGGAGCAAAGATCACTCTTAACTGTGCTTTAACAAAGATATTGGCAACATTTTGCCTCTGCCCTGGAGATCTGTGTAACTTTGAACTTGAGAAAGTTGATCTGAAATTGGAACTTATGTTTTAAAGGGAAGCAGAGCATAAACATTTGGAAAATTTGCAGCCTGATGATGCAATAGAAAAGAAAAGGCAACTTTCTTGGGAGAAATGCAAGCCCACTGCAGAAATTTGCATAAAAAATGAACCAAATGTTAATCACCAAAATAAGGGGAAAATATCTTCAGGGAGTATCAGAGATCTTTGAGGCAGCCTTTCCCATCACAGACCCAGAGGCCTAGGAAGGAATGGTTTTGCAGGCCTGGGCCCCACTGCTGTGTGCATTCTTAGGACTTGGTGGCCTGTGTCTTAGCTGCTTCAGCTGCAGCCATGGCTAAAAGGGGCCAACATACAGCTTGAGCTTTTACTTCAGAGGATGAAAGTCCTAAGCCTTGCCAGCTTTCACATGGTGTTGGTCCTGTGGGTACACAGAATCCAAAACCTCCACCTAGGTTCATAGAATGTGTGGAAATGCTTAGATGTCCAGGCAGAGGTGTGTTGCAAGGGAGGAGCCCTCATGGAGACCCTCTGCTGGGTCAATGAGGAAGAGAAATATAGGATTGGAGCCCCCACACAAAGGCCCCACTGGAGCACTACCATAATGGAGCTGTGGGAAGAGGGCCACCCATTCTCCAGACCTCACAATGGTAGATCCACTGACAGCTTGCACTGAATGCCAGCAGTGAAAGCAGCCCGGGCAGAGGGGCATTACCCTGCAAAATCATTGGGGCAGATCTTCCCAAGGCTGTGGAAACTCACCTCTTGCATCAGTGTAACCTGAATGTGAGACATAGAATCAAAGGAAATTATTTCGGAACTTTAAGTCTCAATAATTGCCCTATTGGATTTCAGACTTTCATAGAGCCTTTGGCCAATTTATCCTATTTGGGATGGGAGCATTTACCCAATGCCTGTATTCCCATTGTATCTTGTAAATGACTAATGTGCTTTTGATTTTATAAGCTCATATTTGGAAAGGACTTGCCCTGTCTCAGATGAGACTTTGGACATGGACTTTTGGGTTAATGCTGGAGTGAGTTAAGACTTTGAGAGCTGTTGGGAAGGCATGATTGTGTTTTGAAATGTGAGAGCATGAGATTTTGGAGCAGCCAAGAGGCAGAATGATATGGTTTGACTCTGTGTCCCCACCCAAATCTCATCTTAAATTGCAATCCCCATAATCTCTGTGTATTGAGGGAGGGACCCAGTGGGATGTGATTGGATCATGGGGGCAGTTTCTCCCATGCTGTTCTCATGAGAGTGAGTGAGTTCTCATGAGATTTGATGGTTTAATAAGCATCTGGCATTTTCCCTGTTTGCATTTCTCTCTTTTGCCACCATGTGAAGAGGTCCCTGCCTCCCCTTCCACCATGATTGTAATTTTCTTTTTTTTTTTTTTTGAGACGGAGTTTCACTCTTGTTACCCAGGCTGGAGTGCAATGGCGCGATCTCAGCTCACCGCAACCTCCACCTCCTGGGTTCAGGCAATTCTCCTGCCTCAGCCTCCTGAGTAGCTGTGATTACAGGCACGTGCCACCATGCCCAGCTAATTTTTTGTATTTTTAGTAGAGACGGGGTTTCACCATGTTGACCAGGATGGTCTCAATCTCTTGACCTCGTGATCCACCCGCCTCGGTCTCCCAAAGTGCTGGGATTACAGGCGTGAGCCACCGCGCCCGGCCCATGATTGTAATTTTCATGAGGCTTCCCCAGCCATGTGCAACTGTGAGTCAATTTTACCTCTTTTTAAAATAAATTTCCCAGTCTTGGGTGTTTCCTTATAGCTGTACAAAAATGGACTAATATAGTCTGCTTTTAAGAGTTTGCCTTTAATCTTAGGTTTTCAGCAGAGTATCAGTTTAGGTTTTCTTGGTATATAGCATTTTGGGGGTTTGTTGAAATTTCAATTTTGTGAGTTTATTTCTTTCATCAATTCTGGAAACCTTTCAGCTATTGTTTCTTTAAATACTGCCTATGTTCATTTTCTCCTCTATTGTTAGAATTTCAATAAAACATGTTTTATCACTTGACTCTACACCACACATTTTTTTACTCTGTTTTGTTTGTGATTGTATATACACTTTTGTTTTTCTATACTTCAGTTTGGATATTTTTACATTACACTTTCTCTAAGTTTAATAAGTTTCTATTGTGCTGTTTTCATTTGATTCTTAACACCTCTGACATGTTGTTATTTCTGATATTTATGAAATTTTAAGATAGCACATGATTTATTATGAGTCAATTTTATTTTGAATTTCTTTAAAAAGTTTTTTTCCATCTATTTTCTTTAATTCCTTTATCTATTTTAAAGACCTTAACACTAATTCTAGCATCTGAATCTGAATGTCTACTTCTACTGAATATTTATTTTCTCTTTTTGTTCATAGTTGTTTTGCTTCTTTGTGTATCTTTTAATTTTTATTCAAATCATATTTTTAAACAAAAAAGTAATGACAAAAGTTTATATAACTTACTCTCACCAACAAGATTGTTCACTCTTTCTTTAGCCACTCAAAAATTTAACTCAGAGGGACCTGGGTAACACTTTTAGTTTGAGTCAGTCCCACTTCTCATTTCTAAAGTCTCAAACAATAAACCTTCTTAGGTTTTAAAAATCAATAAACACACACACACACACACACACACACACACACACACACAGAGTATATACATATACACATATATACATATGCAAATATGTATATATGTATACTATATGTGTGTGTGTCTATATATTAGTATTTTGAGATAGAAGAAGCTACCACCATGTTATATTAACATCATATATATAACAATACACATAACATCATATATATTACATATATGAGCATATGATATACATAATAAAAGCTCTTTTGTATGTGTTTGCTTTTCTGCTATTTTGACATCTGCTCATATATATATATATATGTGTGTGTGTATATATATATATCAAAGGCTCATATATATATCAAACAGTGGAAAAGTGAATATATATATAGAGAGAGCTTTTATTATATACATTATATAATATATATACAGCTTTTCTGCTGTTTTGACATCTGCTCTTATGTATCACCCAGAGTGACTTTCAAATATGGCATGTTATGATGATCATACAAGTTGTATATTTGAGTCAGTCCCCTTTTCTTATTGAGACTTTTTCTATGAGACAATGGGAAAGTCAGTCTTCCCATAAGAAGCTACCTAGACTCTAGGAAAGCAACCTGATTTGGCAAAGTTTCAGAACTTTTCATGCTAGATATAACCTCCTCATGTTTGGTTCTTTCTTACCTCATTACCATTATTCCATTTAGGCTAAATAGAGGCCTGATCTTCAGTCCATATGCAGAGTTGACAAACATAACCAGGTAAAAAATGACCAGAGACCCTATGTTTACTTGAAACAGGTCCTCCCTACTTAGGTTCAGTTCATTTAATTATCTTTGTTTCCACAACTTACCTTTGAACATAAACTTGCACACAGAATTTGTTGTTCCAATTTGCAGTGGGAGCGTTTTTCTTTTCCATCCTATTCTATCTTATTTGGAGCATTCCATATAATTTTGTGTTAGCTTATCTTCATTTTTGCAAATAGAATTTATCTACATGTATATTACAATAATATACATGTAATGCATATCATACATCTCTTTGATTACTTATTTAATAATTGGCTTCCCTACTAGAATGCAAATACTTTGAGAACAGATACTTTGTTTCCTGAGTGTTTTTTTTTTGTTTATAACTTAGAATAGTGCTTAATAAATATTTCCCAAATTAATGAAATAATAGTAGAATGCTTGCCAGCAATTAAGAGTAATATAACAAAATATACTTAATGCTTTGGAAAGTTATTAGGCTATTTTCTAACACTGAATATTCTTATAAAATTATGTAGGTACAAATTTTATAAGGTGAAGTGCATTCTTACACTACATGCAGAAATGTATGTATACTTGATAGATATGGGGGTAGGGGATAGAGAGAGAAAGAAGTGGGGGAGAGAGACAGAGAGAGAGAGAGAAAGAGAAATTTAGGTAGACTTGTAACTGTACAGGCATTTTTAAAAGCAACAATTACTTAAACATACCATACATTTAACTATATGCTTTAGGCACTTATTTTGTTTTTATTGTTTGTAGATTGCAAAGAACCTCCTCCAAGAAAAGATACAGAAATTCTGACAGGTTCCTGGCCTGACCAAGCATATCCAGAAGGCACTTCGGCTACCTATAAATGCCGCCCTGGATATAGGTCTCTCGGAAATATAATAATGATGTGCAGGCATGGAACATGGGTGGCTTTGAATCCATTGAAGACATGTCAGAGTAAGTACTTCGTACATTTGTGAAGTTTATGAAAACTTTTAGTTGTGAAAATGCTTAATATTTAATATTGTAGCAATTATGGCTGAATTATATCACTATTGTCACTCAAATACAAAATAATACCTCATCATTTTTTTTGAGACAGAGTCTGGCTCTGCCACCCAGGCTGGCGTAGGGCAGTGGCGCAATCTTGGCGCACTGTAACCTCTACCTCCTGGGTTCACGCAATTCTCCTGCCTTAGCCTCCCAAGTAGCTGGGACTACAGGCATGCACCACCACATCTGGCTATTTTTTGTATTTTTAATAGAGATGGGATTTTACCATAATGGCCAGGCTTGTCTCAAACCCCTGGCCTCATGATCTGCCCGCCTCTGCCTCCTAAAGTGCTGGTATTACAGGCGTGAGCCACCATGCCCGGCCAATACATCATCAGTTTTAAAAACGGGTGGTCATCCTCCAAAATTCAAAGAGCAAGCATATAGTTTAAGTTCAATTATGAAATAATAGCTTTGCCATATTTAATTTTCCTTATATTCAATCTGTCTTATATAATATCAAATATCCTTGTTCCCCCACTCCTATATAAAATATATTCCTTGTTATTCCATACTAATTCATATCTTTTTTCCATTTTAGAAAGGCCCTGTGGATTTCCTGGAGATACTCCCTTTGGTTCTTTTAAGCTCACAGTAGGAAATGCATTTGAATATGGTGCAAAAGTTGTATATACATGCAATGAGGGGTATGTAGTCCATACAAAAAGAGGCTTATTATTAAGATAGTAATTGGGAACTATACTACATTATATGTTTTAAAAGTGGTTATATTTTTCTATGAGCATTTAAAAAAGTAATACACAAGTACCTGAAAATTTACCTATGATGGAAATAATTATATCTGGATACCACATTATCTCCTTAACACTGAAAAATTTAAATAAAGTATAACTTCTCTCATAGGGTGTAATTATAGGAGACTGGGAAACAGTAAGTATGCACATATATAATTATTCACCCAACAAATCTTCACTACATTATATTTTGTGCAGAGTATCACGTGAGTTCAATGTATCAGGAACAATATGAATTGTAAGACGTTTATATTGTATGGTAACTGTTTTGACAGATTTTATACAATTTAATGGAAGCAAGACTTTTACCTACTTATAAGTTGTGTTTACAACTAGTGTTACTTCATGTCCCAGGCCTGCAAATTATTCTTACCTCACGGACTAAAAATACTGTTCTTTCAGAATCATTGACTCTGTTCTTTCCAACAAACTACTTGGTTTTCTTTGGCAAATTCTTCACTCTACGTCCTCAGTGTTCTTTTGTCCCCCTTATTCTCTACTAGATCAAAAATTACTTTGAAGAAAAATATATATATAGGAAAACTAGGATTAGATCACTATAATCTTATACTTAATAAACAGAAATGTAATCAAATATTACAAACAGAATACCATTATTCTTCTCTCATGGTTTTCTTAATTTGAAGCATTAAAATATAATAGTTTAAAGCTTAGACACTGAAGTAAGCCTGCTTTTCTCTACCACTTAGCACTTACGGGTATTTATAAAAATATCTCTTGACTTCTGTTTCTTCTCCTACAAAACAGACATATTTTATGTACACCATCGATTGGTGGGGAAAAATAAGTAAGACACACATTTGCAGCTCTTAGAAGAGATCTTGAGGTAATGTAGATACCAAATAAGTATAATTTTTTATGAATTTATTCTCTCCTTAGTCACTACCTGAGGGAGGTTTTTCAAATACATTTTTAGCCCTTCAATCATTACTGCTGATTTTATCACACATAACCAAATAGGTTATGATTTCGTGGGCCTGGATTTTTAAAATTTGCTATCCTCCTCACCTCTGAAATATTTCCTTTACTACAGGCTTGCGTCCTCTCTTTAAGTTCAGCACTTGACTTTGCAAAGGACGTAAAAATGTATAGATCTGAAGCCTCTAGCAATGATTGCACATTTTGCACATGCCCTAGGAACTTATAATCCAGTAGAGCATTTTAGATTCAAAGGGCAGGCTTGATGGGTCACTAAAATTACATAAGTTCGACATTAGATGGATTGGGTAAGCAGGTTTGACTCACTGAGTATTCTCTGAAAACAATTTCTAGGATAGAGATGGGGAGACGGAAGCAAGTGCTGAAAGTAAATGACACAGTGACGACTTTTGGGGGCACTATCTTTAATTATGTAGAAAGCCTAAGATGTTCAGAAAACAGCAGAATCGTGGAGGGCAGAAATATGGTGTAAGATTGGAGGGGGGAAACATAAGGTTAGCTATTGGTTACTATATTTTTAGCTTTTGTTTTAGAGATGGTTCATGGAGCTTACTATATTATTGAATTTAATTACCTACTTCAATGAAAAACAAGAATACTGTGTCTGAAACAATAACGAGTTTGTCATGAACCAAGGATTATGATTATTCCCAGTTCATGCACCAAGAAGGAGAGAAAGATAAAGGTTGGGGGGAGACAGAGACAGACAGAGAGAAAGAAACTTAACAAATCTAGAGAGAAAGAGGGTGAGGGAGGAGGAAGGAAAAACAAAGAAAAAAGAAACAAAATGCATATGCTGTTAATTTTTCTTGATATGGAGTCTCTGGACACTCAGAATGACACTGAGTTTAAAACTGCATAGAAGCACACATTATCTCACCACTCTGCTATTTTTGGGTTTTCAGGTATCAATTGCTAGGTGGGATTAATTACCGTGAATGTGATGCAGATGGATGGACCAATGATATTCCTATATGTGAAGGTACACATAAAATTTTTTACAAGTATATTGAAATACCTTAAATATCCAAGATTTTTCACAATGCCTTACATGAAAATATCTTAAAATCTTTAATTAAATTTTTTTTTGTTTGTTTCTCATATAATGTAGACGGGGAATCTCATCTTTTTATTACTACATTCTTGGTGTTTCAGAAGCCAAATACAAATGCAACCTGACCTGATCTAATAATTGAAGTATTAGACATTAGGGAATCTAAAACTCATGTTTATTTCCTTTTGGATTCCAATGACTAGAAATGCATATAAGCATCATTAGCTAAATAAAGACCAGAATTACACCTTTATTAATGAAGAGACACTCACCCAATAACCACCCAAATGCAGGGATCTATGATAACAGCTGAAGTAGAGAACATGATTGAGATATCCCACCAAGAGAGGTTGTCCTGCGAACTTGCCTTTACTGAAAAGAGGAATAAACTAGGAGCAAGCTCTGTTATTTCTTACTGGTGTATAAAGCTACCAGAGAAATGAGAAAAATGTAGCTTCTGTTTTCATGTTTTTAGCTAATAATCCAACTCTCTAGTCTTATGGAAATAAAATAATCAGAGCAGTATTTCCTAATTCCACAGCAAGTAGTAAATGGAGAGACTGAAGTGTGATAATCATTCAAAAATTCTGTTAACTACAGAAGGTAATGCAAGTTTTTTCATCTACGGAAATGAGATGAAGAAGATTAATGTTCTAGAGAGCATCTACTTTGAAATCAACTGGGATGCTTGTTAAAAATTAAAATTTTTGGTTACTAAAAATGACCTACTCAATCAGTATCGTGAAGGTGAAAATGCAGGAAGATTGTCCTAAAAATTTTTATTTTAACAAGCGTACTGAGTCATTCTATAGTATAATAAAGTTTGACTACAACTTTCGAGAAATTGGAAAATATTAAGTAGAATCAAAAGAAGTACTCAAATTATTTTGGACACTGATGTTGAAGAGGATGAAAAATTTCTCTATTGATTTCTCTATTGAAGTTAATGTCATAAAATTTGCTTTTACATCTTTTAGGAATGTGGTGCTGTATTATTCTGGGGCATAAATGAAAATGTTGTATTTAATTATCCCAAGCTTTATATTCCTTAATTATTTAAAAATACTTGTTTGTTCATACAAAAATACAAGCTAGCATTCAAAGTAGTAATTTTCATTTTCCATTCCCATAGAAAATATCAGGAATAAACATTCCATTTGCTTGTTTCTTAGCAGGATGTATCTCTAGCAAACAGGTATATCAAATGCTTCTAAAAAGAATTTAAATAGTTTCCTCCAGTCTTATCCTGAGGAAAAATTTATACATACATATGCTTTTCATAATAAGTTTTTAAAATTCCATTAGAAAACATTACATTTATTTTCTTCAGTTGTGAAGTGTTTACCAGTGACAGCACCAGAGAATGGAGAAGTCATCAGTGGTGCAATGGAATCAGACCGAGAATACCATTTTGGACAAGTAGTACACTTTGCATGTAATCCAGGCTACAAGATCGAAGGAGATAAAGAAATACATTGTTCAGGTGATGGTGCTTGGAGTAAAGAAAAACCAAAGTGTGTGGGTAAGATACACTTACTGTTTGAGTATTTTTAGCCTTTTAAATAAAAATATACATTTAAAACATCATTCATTCTAAAGAATATCAGCAATATTAACTATAGCTAATGTTTGTTGAACACTTACTATATGCCTGTAATTTATCTTAGTTCTTTGCATGCATGACTTCATTTTACTTTTCAAACAACTCTATCATTTATTTAATGTTATCACTTTTATTTTATAATTGAAGAGACTAATGCGAAGAAGTTAAATTATGTGCCCTGGATTATCATGCATACACAGTCAAGTTAGGATTTAAACATAGGTTATCTGACATCAGAATCCATGCTTTAACCATAACTCCATGGTACTTGCCTCTTAGGCTGAAAGAGAATGCTAAGTATTTCTGGTGCAAGTTGTAATATTGACCTCTGGAATAGACATTTGTTTTTAATTTTGAAAGCCAAAGATTTGTTATGTATTTCCAGGGATGCATTAGTATGACATTCTGTTTTTGAATAACACTTCTAGGAAGCAGACCTGTTTTATATTTGTTCTATAAGTTTACTATAAATATTGCTGAATTGAACAGAATCTACTAAATAAATCTTTGTCTCTTAAAAAAATTTTATAGTAAAGTATAAGCCAAGATTTTTTAAGTCATAATACTGCCAACTTGTGCATCATGACCAATCAATGACTTTGGCTTTTGTAATAAACATCATGGTTGATTTGTCTAGTAGTACCATCGTTCAAGTTCATTTTACCAATAATTATTAGGCAGAAGTTTCTGGCATGTTTATGTTTAACATTATCTAAAATTCTAAATTATTTATACTTTTAAAGTCTAGTCTGTCTTAGAGTTAGATACAGAGAAAAGTATTTCTCTTCTTAAGAACTCTAACAACACTGGTTCTTTATGTTAAAAGCTAATATTTTTATCCAGCATAGCAAATATTATGTACTTTAGAAGTTCATGGATGGAATTTACATCCTTACAACTAGAGTCCAATGGTTAGTGAAACCTTCCTGGAATGGCTGATGCCTACAATTAAGTCCTAAAGGAAAAAAAAAATGAGATTTTTTAGATGAAAATGAGAGCAAAAGCATGCCAGAGTGAGTTCATGGAAAGGGAAGTGGAAAGGCAGTGAGGCTTAATAAGGAGCATGAAACGCCACTGATTCTTATTCATTGTTCCTAGGTACCTTAGTACAGAATGCAAATGGGGAATGAGTGAGTGATAAATTGAAGGTGGGCCAATACGGAGTGATGGGGTGCTACATATACCATGCTGAAGAACACACCTTTTATTCAGACTGATTTGGGAATCACTGAAGCATTTCAAGTGAAATAACAGTGTGACTGCATGAGAGGTCATTAAGCTATATTTACGGAAATGGATTAGAAAGTGGGAGAACAGGGCTTGGGAAACTACTTATGATTGGTCCAATCCCAGGTAAAAATATTTGATAGAAGTGGGTATAAAAGATGATTACCAGTTTTTTTCTACAGAAATCCTGGATAAATGGCGATGACACAAAAACAGGTCAGCTACTTTTCAGAAATGTAATGACAGGGAGTTAAATGAATCTCTTTGACAAAGAGTCCTGTTGATAATTGCTGTCTTATCAATAACCACAAAATGTGTTATTTTTGCAGGTCATTCAGTGAAAACATTACAATAAAACTCTATGGTCAGTTTCATATATATACTTGATGAATGTTGCTGATCACTATGTCAAGAAGGATAATTTATCCTTAAATAAAGTTAGAAGCATAATTTTAATTTTCTTCAGATAAATAATTGATTAAGTAGTCAACTTAAAACAGAACTTTCATTCAGTGGACATGATTTACCTGATGTAAACAAAATTTCTATTTTCATACAATTATGTCTTGGTCACAGTCCTTTAATTTGCAATAAACATTTTGGAATTTAATCCTTTTTATTTAGAAATTTCATGCAAACCTCCAGACGTTGTGAATGGATCTCCTATATCTAAGAAGAATATTTTTAAGGAGAATGAACGATTTCAGTATAAATGTAACATGGGTTATGAATACACTGCAAGAGGAGATTCCGTATGCACTGAATCTGGATGGAATCCGTTACCTTCATGTGAAGGTAATGTTATATTTATTTTCTGCATCTTTTGTTATAAATTTATCACTTATTTAATTATTTTAATAAAGCAATTTATTTTAATCAAAAGTAGAGTACTAATTTATATAAATAAACTTATAAAACATATAGAATTTTTTGTGTTCAAGGTTCATTTTGAGAACACCTTGTATGATACACACACTCTGAAAATAGACATAAACGGATCAGAAAGGTTCAGTTGTTTATTAAGAAATTGGTCTATCATCGAAAACCATGTCTGGAGCAGAGCCAGGACTATAATAGGCTTCTTAATTCTCAGTAATATACAATTCTCAAACAAGTAGATTGCTCCTCTAATGCCCAGAATTTATTTAAATAATATTAATATTTTAAAATATTTTAAAAGTAGCTTGTCTTAATACCAGATGAGGAAACTCTCAACTGACAATGGAATTAAGTGGAAGGAAATGAATGTTTTTATTAACAACAGGCCCAGTATGACTCAACAGCGATGATGGTGCTGGAAAATTAAAAAATAAAAACAACCCCACTCTCTTGGTTTTCATCGTGGAATACAGAGCCAAAGAGTTCATCTCAGCTGTGCTCTTTGCCCACCAAAAAATATATCTGGAATAGAGTGTTCTACTTAACCTACTTCATTTTAAAAGGGAAAGTTTCAAACTATCATGACCTAGAAAGGAGAATATAGACAGTTGTGGACTTTAAAAAATGATGCTGTTAGGGCCGGGCGCGGTGGCTCACGCCTGTAATCCCAGCACTTTGGGAGGCCGAGGCGGGTGGATCACGAGGTCAAGAGATCGAGACCATCCTGGTCAACACGGTGAAACCCCGTCTCTACTAAAAATACAGAAATTTGCTGGGCGTGGTGGTGCGTGCCTGTAATCCCAGCTACTCAGGAGGCTGAGGCAGGAGAATTGCCTGAACCCGGGAGGCGGAGGTTGCGGTGAGCCGAGATCGCGCCATTGCACTCCAGCCTGGGAAAAGAGAACCACCCTCCCGTTCAAAAAAAAAAAAAAAAAAATTATGCTGTAAGAAGTATAGTAAGAAGATACAGCTATAGTGTGGCAATAACTGTTCTGAGGTATTTTCAAACATTTACAAAAGGAGTGAGTTTGCTTTTGATGAGGACTGCTGCGGTGAGTGAGACAAGGAACAGTGTCACCACATATGGTCCTGAAGCCTAAAAGGGAGACACTGTTATACTGTGAGAGAAGGAGAGTTGAACTCTTAACAGCCCTCTGAACTGTAAATCCCATGATTCCTAAATACATGTTTAAATCTTGCTTTAGTGATTCTCTTTTACAAGAAGCATAGTTAATTTTGGTTTAATTTTATACACTAAAAGCATTTTTGTTTGTGCCCACAAGTGTCTCCTCGGAAAACATATCTTTCTTCACAATTGCGTGATCTCTACTTTTAGGCACTATTAAGAAAATATTTTAGAAAGAAATTAATGAACTTGAGGCAGTAATAACGCACATCAGATCCACGTTTGGCTAATGGTGTGTGGGGTCCAACTGTTTGTCTTCGTGGCATTCATAGTTCCCACGCAGAGAAAGTGCATGCACAAGTGCTTTGGCATTAACCTCTGCCTGCAGTATACTACTTCAAATCTATAGTTAATTTATCCATCCAATAATCAGAATGCAACCTATAAAATACTTATTTTACATCAGGGCCTTGCTTTGTATTGAAGATAAACATTGCAATAAATGACCATTCCAGCTTTCAATGAATTCAAAATAAGACTCTGGGAATTTAGTTTTTTTTTTTTTTTTTTTGAGGCGGAGTTTCGCTCTTGTTACCCAGGCTGGAGTGCAATGGCATGATCTCGGCTCACCGCAACCTCCGCCTCCTGGGTTCAGGCAATTCTCCTGCCTCAGCCTCCTGAGTAGCTGGGATTACAGGCACGCGCCACCATGCCCAGCTAATTTTTTGTAGTTTTAGTAGAGACGGGGTTTCACCATGTTGACCAGGATGGTCTCGATCTCTTGACCTCGTGGTCCACCCGCCTCGGCCTCCCAAAGTGCTGGGATTACAGGCGTGAGCCACCGCGCCCGGCCGGGAATTTAGTTTTATATGAACATGTGACTCTGTTGCACGACTGCCTCATTGTAGGCGTCTGAATATTTCATCTCTTTCACCTGTTCACTTTGCTACCTACCTAAAACTCTTCTTTAGCACATATTTGTTTTCACAATGGGAAATCCATCTGTTTTTCCCAAATGCGTGGCTGCATTTCTATGCTTGCTTCTCTTGAACACGGATTGATTTATTCACACACACACACACACCCCCCAAAGACTCTAAATTTATAAAACATTTATTTTTATAATTTTTTTTTCCATTTCTCAGTCACAAGTACAAGTGAAATCTGAATATTCAAGACTATGCATGTGGGTCCTGCTTCTTTAGGAAGACAGATACCAAGAGAAGGCACTGGGATTGGGTACTCTTTTTCAGAAGACAGTTCATTAATAATCAATATAAATAAACGTGAATTCATCCAAGATTAGATAAGCCTATACTGTCTCTTACCACGTTTTATTTTATTGAAATATATTTTACATTAATTAGATATAGAGGAGTCCTTATTAATAAACGAATTCCACTCTTTGTATGCCAAACTTTCTGACCCTGTTTATGTCTTTTGTAGCATAAATACTACTCTTTATTTTCTTGGTACAAAGCAAAGTTCTACTTGCTGATATAAGATGAATTTCAAATCTATATACATTATTTTCTCTGAAATCAGTTACCTTCAAACCTCTTTGTTGCATCTAAATCTATAAGACAGTTGCAGCTAAATAATAATATTAAAGTAAAATAATCCATTTAAATTTTAAATACTTAAATTTTCTTCAATCTGGTATATACATGTCAGAGGACTGACTTGAAGGTGAATTGTTAAAACTTTAGTCTCTGTGTCCAAAGGGACAATCTGTAATGGAAAGTCATTTACAGAAACAATCAAAGGTACCAATTCCTGCTAAATGAAAGCTTTCTTCAATTCAGGTCTATCTCTTCCCTGTGCAGATTGGATTTTCTATTGGTTCAAAACATACAGTGCTAACCTTGAATTAGTATTCTGACTTCAAATGACTAATGGTTGTTTCTAATAGTAGGAAAATATGAATAGTCTCAAATACTGTTTTGAGTGGAGGTACAGGTTCAGGGAATGTTTTAATAATATCATTTATTCTAAAGAAGATTGTGAGTGTAAGAAATTAAGGTTTATCGTGGGATTTATGTCTACTACTTGAGCATAATCTCCAGATGTCCTTCTATTCTTAATTAACAAATTGTCCCAGTGTTATTTTATTGATTTCTCTGTTAAACTTTTATTTTTTGTATCTCATAGCTTTTGACTTCCAAAACTACTATTAAATTGAGCTATACCATAAGGAAAAATAATTGAAGATATATAAACTGAACTTTAATGGGTATATGAAAATATGATCGAGCAGAATAAACTGAGAAAAAACAAAGAAAAAAGGAACACATTTAAGGCTCATTTGAAGTTAGTGTCAACATCAAACACTGAAGACATATTTTACTTAAAATAGTAAAATTTTAAAATAGTAACACTTTAAAACTTGTATATTAAGTCACAGATTTTTTCTAATGTAATTATTGCTAACATAAATATATTATCCTGTTAGCTATAGAAATACATTAAAGCTTATTCTGACAGAGTAGAGTATAAACTTAGGAGCTCAATGGACACAGTGGAATTATGGTATTGAGAGGAGGAAATATGTAATGAATAATTAAAACTTTATAAAATTTTGTGTTTGACTAAGTATACAAATGATGAGAAAGCAATGTGGGGGAAATTTGCAGGTTTCTGTCATGAGAGTTCTTTCACAAATTAAGATGTTGAGCAAAAAAAGAAAAGCATATTTTGAGAAAAGTATGATGATTTAGTTTGTCACATGGTAAATTGCATATACCTTTGAATTTTACACATGGCCTGCCTAGTGTGAAGCTGCAATTGGTATATACGGACTTGAACCTCACTGACAATGTTATTAGCATCATGATGGTAGCTTTTATCTTGGAAGTATCTATCTTTATTCACACAGAGAATGTGAAAAGGAAAACATCAAAATCAAGGACAAATATTCATGTAAAACAAACTGTAAGGGACTCACTCATACAACACCTGTGAATGGGCGTCAAGAAAAAATTCGAAGTAGTGATAAAAATCAACATGAAGATCTAGGGCAGAATCACTTTAGAAACAAGAAATAGCAAGTGCAAGTTATAGGAATAAGCTTGGCATGTGTGAAGGCCAGACAGGATTTGCTACACTTGAACAAAGAGTTCAGAGCAGGGACTTAAAATTGGAGAAGGTTGCATATCAATAAGACCATGACTGAGAGGTAAGAAAGAAGGAAGAAATAAACAATGATTTAAGATATAGGGGAAAATGAAAAAATTAAAGTTAACCTGAATTTGAAAGAAACACCGTGTCGTTGAAGACTAAACAAAAGACTTAAATCAGTCTGGATACAGCTAATGTGGAAGAACCCTGGAAGGAAATATAGGGAACTCACTACTGGCAGTCTCAACTGTTTTGTGTGAATGAAGACTTACTATCTGTTGATGAAGGAGCAATTGTTTCAGGTGGCTGGAGAGAAGTGAGGAGACTATGAATCACTTACTATGGGAAATCAATTAGTAAATAAATTAGGGGTATATAAATGGAATTTCCACAGTGCTGAATGTTCACCACAGCTTTTTGTCCAAAATAAAGTATGACCCCAGTATAAGTGGTAATATAACTTTTCTGCAATACTTAAAATGCATAGCATTTGATTTAAAAAGGAATATTGCAAATGGATCCAATATTGAGATATAGCAGATTTAATGGAAAGGAATGAGAGGGTGCTTTATAAATCAGGACAGACTGGGCCAAAGGATTGCAAACGATGGGCTGCAGGTAAAATATAAGTTGCCCCCTTTGTGGAAACAAAGTTTTATTGAAAGACATCCATGTTCATTTGTTTGTCTGTTGTTTATCACTACTTTTGTGCTGTAATGGCAGAGTTGAGCTGCTGCAGCAGAGACCTTTTATCTGGCCCTTTACAGAAAGGATTTTCCGGCCAGGTGCGGGGGCTCAGGCCTGTAATCCCAGCACTTTGGGAGGCCTAGGTGGGAGGATCACCTGAGGTCAGGAGTTCAAGACCAGCCTGACCAACATGGAGAAACCCTGTATTTACTAAAAATACAAACTTAGCCAGGCTTGGTGGCACATGCCTGTAATCCTACCTACTTGGGAGGCTGAGGCAGGAGAATCACTTGAACCCAGGAGGTGGAGATTACGGTGAGTGAGCCTAGATTGTCCCATTGCACTCCAACCTGGACAACAAGAGCAAAGCTTCATCTCAAAAAAAAAAAAAAAAAAAAAAAAAAAAAAAAAAATATTTTCCAAACCCTGTGCTATTTTATCTCATTATAGTAATAAAAATGTATTGCAATATCTCAATATCTTAATATTTAAGATATTGAGACTAAAGTTTATTTTCATTCATGTTCACTTTCAATGTAGATCAGAAGAGACTCTACTCATTGTATTAATTGTAAGAATCAGTGAGAGAAACATCATCTTTTCATGTCCTTCTTTAATCACAACGTCTGTGGATAAGAGAACATAAAAATTCATACTATGGCTGTTAAAACTTCCTCTGTACAGTGAAAGATATTACTTCCACTTTTTTACAGTGTCTTACACAATCACGTGGCCACTTCAAAGAGGAAGGGTTGTGAAGTCCTATCAATTGTCCAGAAGAAAGAAACCTTGAATATTTGTAAACAGTCCTTATGAGAATCACAGACACCAAGGAAGTATAAAGCAGAAGTAGTAATTGAAGCTATATATGATGAGATCATTGCCAGTTATGGAAAATCGTGAAGTATAGGATGACTTTGGAGAAGAAGGGGTTAAGACACCAGGAAGTACAAATACATCAGATGAGAATATAGTGAAGGGAAAAATAACTGGTATACAAGAAAGGATACCACGATTTGTTCATTTTAATGCAATTTTTTGCTGTGTTAAGAACAAATAACACCTACTTTTTTTCAAATTTATTTATTTAATTAAAAATTGCAAATACTATGGTGAATGAAATTAAAGGCCTCTGACCACAAAGTTTACACTGTAGGGTTTGAAAAATAAAGACAATTAGATAATAAATAATTCCTCATGTAGTGCTGGTTGTATAAGTTGGTACTACATTCTGGAAGAAGGCTTAGCAATGCCTATACAAGCTGAAGCTAGAAATATATCTTAATTATATTTGTGGTTACATAGCTACATAATTGCATAAATTTATCTTTTTTTAAAATTGTACTTTAAGTTCTGGGGTACATGTGCAGAACTTGCAGGATTGTTGCATAGGTACACACATGCCATGGCGGTTTGCTGTCTCCATCCTACCGTCACCTATGTCAGGCATTTCTCCCCAGTTATCCCTCCCCAACCTCCCCACCTCCGCTGTCCCTCCCCTAGGCCCCCACCTCACAACAGACCCTAGTGTGTGATGTTCCCCTCCCTGGGCCCATGTGTTCTCATTGTTCAACACCCGCTTGTGAATGAGAACATGCAGTGTTTAGTTTTCTGTTCTTGTAATATCTACTCTTGAATGTTGATATAAATGATGAATTTTAATGGATTCTTATTTCTGCATTAACCACACATCCTTTTCTTTTCAGAAAAAATATGTAAAGATCCTTATATTCCAAATGGTAGATACACACCTTTAAGGACTAAACACAGAGCTGGAGATGAAATCAGGTATGAGTGTATAAATGGTTTTTATCCTGCAACCCGGGAAAAAACAGTAAAATGCACGAGTACTGGCTGGATACCTGCTCCAAGATGTACCAGTAAGTTCCATTCATATCTTGACCCATTTCTTAATTCTGAAATTTCTTTTAAACACATAAAAAATGGGGACTCAATAAAACCCAATATTTGTCTTACTGGTGTATATAAAGTAAGGGTGTTGGAAGTATTCTTTAGTTTTCAAAGTTGCCAAAACTCAATTTTTTTGGCTACTCAAAATTAAATGTGTATGTGTGTTTATGAATGTATGTTTCTCTAATTAATAAAATTCTTCCAATATCTGAATTAAAACACTAGATAAAAAGTGTCACCTAATGCATACTATATTAGTTATTTGTTGCATTGTAACAAAATTCTGCAAAAATATATTTGCTTAAAACAACACACTTTTATTATCTTACAGTTACTGTGGGTGAGGAATCTGAAATGGCTTAGATGGGTAGTTAAGAATCAGATTGTGTTCTTGTGTTGCAATCAGGATGATGGCCCAGGCTACAGTGATCAGAAGGCTTGGCTGGGCAGGAGGATCTGCTTCTAACATTGCTGACACACATGGTTCTTGTCGGGAAGCCTCAGGTCCTTACCACATAGGCCTTTCCATGAGTTAATGAAATGGCAGCTTTCTCCAGCGCTACTAGTCTGAGACAGAGGAGAGGAAGCCACAATACCATGTATTAGTCCGTTCTCACACTACTAGAAAGAACTACCTGAGACTGGATAACTATGAAGAAAAGAAATTTAATCGACTCACAGTTCCACAGCCTGTACAGGAGGCATGGCTGGGAGGCCTGAGGAAACTTACAGTCATGGTTGGGTGAAGGGAAAGCAAGCACATCTTACCATGAGAACTCACTCGCTATCATGAAAAGAGCAAGGGGGAGACCCACCCCAATGATCCAATCACATCCCATCGGGTACCTCCCTCACTACTGGGAATTGCAATTCAACATGAGATTTGCGTGGGGACACAGAGCCAAACCATACCAATCTTCTGCTCATACACTGTTAACTTCAGCCCTATCTATTCTTTAGAAGTGAGACACTAAGTTCAGCAAACACCCAAGGGGAGAGAAATTAGGCACCACTAATTGGAGGGAGGAGTGTTGAAGGACTCCAAGTCTTCGTCATTTCTTAGTGTTAAAGGTAATTTCCTAAAACCATCACATGTAGCAAAATACACCTCAAGACAACAGAGCATTTTATTTCTGGGATACTCCTTTTCCCATTTTAAAAGGTTTTTCTACCTCTACAATTAAATTTCTTTTCTTTCTATCTAACAGTACATAGTCAAGATGTACCACACTTTAACTACATAGTCCATGAAAGAAAAATATAATGATACAGATGATTGGCCAATACTTTAATTTTAATGCCCAGCATAATTCCAGTCCCTAAGAGAGAAAGCTATTATCAGTATGAAACAGATTTCAATGTGCATAAGAATCATAAGGAAAATATTTAATGATTTTATGGTTTGCTTATGACAATGTAGTTCAGCCCAAATGTATCTGGACCATCTGAGACTCAACTATATCTGGATTTCGATTATTAATATTTAACAATGAACCATCTAGAGTTCTCATAGGCAAGATAAGAAGTTGACCAGTTATATGGTTTATCAGTTTGTAATTTCAATTAGTAACCTTGTCTGATTACCAGATGTAGGACCTTAGTCTCAGGCCTGCTTCATCACTTGCTTCATTGAAAAGTTTAATGACTTGGGGGAAACAGTACAAAGTCACTACTTGATGATACAGAGGATGATAGTAATGAATCTGCACTAGGGCAGATTCAGCGTTCAAAGAGAATCTTACGTGCTAAGCTCAATCTAATAAGATGAAATTTAAGAATGTTGACTCTAAGATCCTAGGCTTGGGGTCAACTAAATGACAGTATGGATATATTAGCAGCAGTTATAAAAATTAGTGAATATTTTAATAAATGTTAAGATCCGTTTGAGCCGCTATGATGGAAACACCATAAATGCTATGAGACCAAAAACCACATTTGTAGAAGTGTAAGAAGTAGAATGAGCTGTCTGAAGTCCTTCTATTCTCAGTGCTGATGAGACCCTCGGTGGGTTCTGATATTTGCTTCAAGGAACCACTTTGTAAAAAGGATACAGACAGATGTAAATGTGCCAAAATTAAAAAATAGCTAAGCAGCTCAAGCCTGTGGCAATGATATATGTTTATAATTATGCCTCCTTTTTATTCCTTTTGGAAAGGAATCTCAGTGAACAATTTTATTTTATGACATTCTGTAACATACTGTAATCAGATGGATACTCATACTTCTTTTGAAGTGAACCACAAGCTTTCAAATCTCTGCTCTGCCATTTAATGTGAAATTCAATTGAGTTCTTTAAGACACCATTCCTGCAAATCCAAGACTCAAGCTTTCCCAATGCAGAATTATTGTTAAATAAAAATGTCATGACAGATCATAAAACTTGTAAAATCCAATGGTAAATAGAAAATATTCAGTCTTTAAAAAGTGGTGGGGAAAAATGTAGAATGTTCCTTTAAAAAAATAAGATTAAGTAAACATTTTAATTGCAGTCTGAAACACTTCAATGAAACAATGAAAGTAAACTGGAAGCTTGAAATAAATAGGGAAAAATCTATGAATTATAAGATATATGGATTGTAGGCCAAGAAACCATACTAAAGAAGTATCATTCACTAGTCTTTTTTAGAAAAAGATATTTATGATATACAGTGGTTCAGCTTATAATCCATATAATAAATGTTTGTAGAAATGACAAGAAAATTTCTCTAATCAAATACCAAGAAAATAAATAAATCACTGAATTTAAGAAAGATGTAGATGAAAAAGAATACTTATTTGTGTGTTTATGTGTGTATTGAAACTCTTTTTAAGCTGTTGTGTAAGGTTTATTGAAATAAAATCATATTTCTTAGTAAAAATACCACTTTGTCAAGTATTAGATAATCTATATATAATCTATCAAAAAGAGAAAATTTTCTGAAAAATATATAAACCTGTTAATATAGTAAGATAGCACTCAAATATATTTGCCAAATTAATATATAAAAACTTGGTAAAATGTAATTATATTGTACCTGATTTAAAATATTTTATGACATTAAAATTACTTTGCTCTCCAATTGAAATTGGGAATAAACTATTTGGATATGAAGAAATATTCCTAGTCGATTTCTCTGGTTAAATAAAGGCTGGAAAATTTGGCTTAGTGAATTGTTTGAGGCATGAATTAACTATGTTATTTTTCTGTGTGATATTATCAAAAAAAGTTTTTATGTCCCCCTATATTTTTACATTGTATTAAATAGGAAAGAGCCTAATGAATCTATCTCTCTATCTCTCTATCTCTCTATCTATCATCTATCCATCTTTATTTTTATTTTTAGAGATGGAGTCTCACTCTGTCAGTCAGGCTGGAGTGCAATGGCACAATCTTGATTCACTGCAACCTCTGCCTCAGGGGTTCAAGTGATTCTCTTGCCTCTGTCTCCTGAATAGCTGGAATTACAGGGGCAAACCACATGGCCTGGCTACTTTTTTTTTTGCATTTTTAGTAGAAACAGGGTTTCACCAGGTTGGCCAGGCTGGTCTCAAACTCCTGATCTCAAGTGATCTTCCTGCCTCAGCCTCCCAAAGTGCTGGAATTACAGGCATGAACCACTGCACCCAGCCCATGAATTAAATCTAAAACAACTAAAAACCTTAAATCCCTCAAAATACTACCTCCTTACATTGAGTGGTTCTGAGAAGAAAATTCAGGGCTTTGTTTACTGATAAGAATAGAAAAGAAATAAAAATACATAAGCTAAGTGGTAATATTGTCATATTTCTCAACTAAAAATCTCATTTAATTAGCCAATGATAGGGTATGTGTGCTCAAGGGGAAAACTTTAAACAGGTCTGTATATTTTTCTTTCTGGAGAGACCTCATACAAATTTACGCATCATGTGACCCACAAGACATAATTGCATCTTCATTAATAAAGACCTTCTCGTCATATTTCTCAGTCATCTGAGTTCTATCATTCGTTTTGACATAGAAACCCTAATGGAATGTGTAATTATGCTAAGAAGAGAATACAATTCAGTGATAAAAAATTTATCTCTAATATGATTGTTTATTACAGTAAAACTTATTTATACTTTTTTGTTTTTTTTATTGCAAGTGAAACCTTGTGATTATCCTCGTATTAAACATGGAGGTCTATATTATGAGATGCTCTATAGCCGATCCTTTCCTGCAGCGGTAGGACAATATTACTCCTATTACTGTGATCGAAATTTTGTGACTCCTTCAGGAAGTTCCAATGGTTACATTCAATGCAGACAAGATGGGTGGTTTCCAGAAATCCCATGCCTCAGTAAGTAAACCTCTTTACAGCAATATGTGCATAAAACTTTCAAAGAGTGGAGAGAGGAGAGCACATAAGTGATTATAACTTGTCTTATGTAACAGAAATAGGGTCAAGAGAAGAGTTGCTCAAGAAAATGACCAAAATAGATCTTTTCTATTATGAGGAGTTCGTCTTGAAAATCATATGAGAAGTAGAGACTTTATGAGAATATCTATGTAATTTATACATATTTTAATTACAATTAAAGATAAATAATATTTAATATTGATATTTCTTTTTGTACAAACCTTTGTAATGTTAGTTTGTCTTAAGTTATACATTATTTTTTGATGTTTATGCAATTTTACTTAAATATAAAAATAATTTTAATATAATATTTTGAGCAAATTTATGTTTCTCATTGATTTATTTATTTATCATTGTTTTGTTTTTTAGGACAATGTTATTTTCCTTATTTGAAAAATGGAGATGATACACATTCTGGAAGAAATTTTTTACAGGGTGCCTCTGTAGAAGTTCTCTGCCATTCTGGCTACGGCCTTCCAAATGAGCAGACCACAGTTACATGTAGAGAAAATGGCTGGTCTCTTGCTCCCAGCTGCATCCCTGTCAGTAAGTACACTGCTCTGAGATCCCAGCATGTTCATGTCTTTCTAAGTAATGTAGTTGGCATTCTAAGACTCTTCTGCGTTAACTGTGGAAAAATGCTTACGCCAACTTGTTTTGCCAAAAGATCTATTTAGTTTTATTTTTTCAATTGTGTATAAATGAATACACAAATTTCTTGATAAATACATAGCAAAATAAATGCTTTTATTAATAGACATTAGTCAAGAATAAAGTAAAAAGGTTTGAACTCAATACTTGTTGGTTACATTAGGTCACATTGGAGCGGCATCACTGTATGGAGTAAATACCTGAGGTTCTTCTCACACCAAGAAGATTAAGGACACAGACATGCACAAGGAGTGAGTTTAGGAGTGCAGGCTTAATAGGCAAAAGAAAGAGAAAAGAGAACAGCTCTCTTTCTTCTGAGAAAGGGGTACCCAAAGGTGAATTCCTGCCCCTGGTGGAGTGCTCTGGACTTTATAAACAGGCTTGAGGAGGCAGTGTCTGATTTACATAGGGCCCAAAGATTGGATATGTAAATGTGACATTTACATAACGTGCCAGAAGCTGGCAGCCCCACCCTCAGCTTGTTATGCAAAGGGTTCTTTGCCTGGCCAGTGCCATGTTGCCTGCTCCTTACTGTACACATGGCTGGCAAAGAGAAGGGAAGATGGAGCTGCCATTGGAACATGCCTAGTCCCAGGTCACCTTTTCCTATGGGCACAACTGCTGGCATTCACTCTTCAAGCTTCCAGCTTGCTAGTCTATGTTTGCAGCTCGATTTTACAGGCTCCTCTTTGATAGAAAAGAAAATGATTTGGCGGCTGAATTTTATTAAAAGGAGAAACTTACCAAGGACACCTGTACTCTCATTAGCTGCCTACATAATTTCTTCTTAACTCCTGTATCAACATTAAAATGTGCATTGGAATCAATCATTTGACGCAAAATAATTGTAAAATTATAGTTTAAAATAGAAAGTAAATTCAACGATAACCGATAATGTCATTCAGATATTCAAGCAGTGTGATGACATTTTTACAGTAAAGCTGTTTGACTTTCTCTAGTATAGGTAAGTACAAATGGGTTTTCTGGGGTATTGTGCACTTTCTACTCCAGAAGGGTTCCTGTAGTGTTTCTTCCAATATGCATTTAGATCAACGGTTCCTTCTAGTTTTATGTGTTGTTAATGAGTGGTGATGTCACATTTTAATATTTACAAATTGAGTGTCTATAAAATGTTATAGCATTGTAGTGTGAATACTTTGTAGTATAATATAAAATTTCTTCTATTACTAATTGGGTTTAGAGTATATATTCACAGTTTAATTGGTATTTAATGATTCTAATTTTTGGAAATGCATTGTGATTTTTTTTTTAAATTTACATTTCTGGGAGTTTTGGTATGTATTAGTCCAAATCATCATACTAATTCAGAATATAAAATCTCTCGTAATGATATTTAATGCAAATGCATTCCTTTTCGTGACTAGTGTTTTTCTTTTCGGTTTTATGCATTATGAACGTAAGTTGCTCAATCTTTTTGCATGATCAATGTTGTTTCTATTTAAAGGAATACTTCTTCAAAGATACAGAGCCATTATACTATTCTTTATTCTAAAAAGTAGTTTATTCTATTTTACTTTGAGACAGAATCTCATGTCACCTAGGCTGGAGTGCAATGGTACAAGCTCAGCTCACTGCAACCTCCATCTCCCAAATTTTAATTAGTGTAGGTTAAAAAGTATGGATAGGACCTTTCACCCTAATCTGTTTTTTTCATCTGTCTCTTTTTTCTGTGTCTCATCATCCAGTGTTGGGTGATCCCATTACTTTTATTTTTTTTTTCTTGTACATTAATTGAGGCCAATAATATGCCTTGATTGGATATGCAAGGTTTCCTATCAAACAACTCAGTCAAGGTTTATGTCTCTTGCTTTGGTTTTGGAGCTGTTTGAAGAGTCAAATAATTGTTTTCTTTCCTTCTTTCTTTCTTTCTTTCTTTCTTTCTTTCTTTCTTTCTTTCTTTCTTTCTTTCTTCTTTCTTTCTTTTCTTGGATCTGTTGAGTCAACTTCCTCCCTCTCCTCTTCTTGCGTTTCCTTTTCTTTTCTTCCCTTTCCTTTTCTCCCCTTCCCTGCCCTTCCCTCCTATTCTTTCCTCTTTCTTACTTCCCACCTTCCTTCCTTCTTTCGACTGTCCCAAGTTTGCCTGGCTCAGTTATTTTTAAGAATGTTACTATTGGCCAGTACCGGTGGCTCACACCTGTAATCCCAGCATTTTGGGAGGCTGAGGCGGGTGGATCACCTGAGGTCAGGAGTTTGAGACCAGCCTGACCAACATGGTGAAACCCTGTCTCTACTAAAAAATAAGAAAATTAGCCAGGCATGGTGGTGTGTTCTTGTCCCAGCTACTCAGGGAGGCTGAGATAGGAGAATTGCTTGAACTTGGGAGGCAGGAGTTGCATGAGCCAAGATCACGCTGCTGCACTCCAACAGAGTGAGCAAGGCAGCCAGACTCCATTTCAAAAAAAAAAAAAAAACGAATGTTACTATTTTACTCTTCATGATAGACCCCATACTTTAGTCATGTAATTTAGTTACTTTATTGTGATCATATAATTAACCAGTCGCAGCTTCATCTTAAAATCGAGATATCAACATTATATTATCAATGTACAGTCAGTTATCAGTGAATCACCGCACTTTCTAATTTAATAAAATCTAAATTCCTCATAACCATGTTGTGAAAATAAGCAGAAAAATTTAAATATACTTGAATGAGTACAGCAGACATATACTGGCTACTAGTATCTGTGTTTTGTTATGTATATATTATTCCAGCCAGAATGGGAAATGTTAATTCAGTTCCTCCATGCAGCCCACTAGGGGCCGCTGGCTTTGAGATTATTAAACTCTTTCTCTGCTGCAAACTCCACTGTCTCAGTGTATTGTTCTGTTGCTGTGCAGCAGACATGCACATCTGACAGTCTTGTAACTGTTTGTGGCAAGCCAGGTGGACATCACTCTCCTTGAGGGCATTTACTCATGGCCTAGTGCCCCCTGCCACTGGGGCAGACCCAGAGACAAGCCCTAGCAGCTGCTTAGTTCTGATGAACTAAGGACTGCCCCTTAGTTCTCATTTAACCCACAATGCAACCCGGGTGGGCTGCATCTTGCAAAATTGAAAGGCCTTTGTCTATCATTCCATGACACAAAAAAGGATTATCTTATTTTTAACATGGCTTGACCTTAATACCCACTGGATTGGGAAGAATGGTGGCCACTGCATGGCTCTCATGCTTCCCATGCTACTACTAGATTTGTTTTGTAAGAAGAAAGAGAAATGGGACGAAATCCCCTATGTATATGTTTTTTGTTGCTTTGCAAAAGGAGAACAAAGGAGAAAAAGGGTAAAATCACAATCTAGCAAGAAATTAAAACCAGTTTGGACTGATTTACAAAAAGTAAGATGATGATGCCATGTTGGTTCAGTGAAAGGAACCTAGACTCCCCCTCCTCCAGCACATGGGGGAGCTGCAGCATCACTGCTGGCAGCTAAGCCAGAGTCCCCACCCACAAAAAGGCACAAATCCAGGGCACAGGAATGATCTCTGCTTCTTGTACCCAACAGGGGACTCCATTCAGCAAGGGTGTCACTGTTTCTGAGAGGCGGTTTCCCCAACAACAGTAATCTACAGGAGTGTCGCTGCCACAGAACAACCTATGGATTTATCTGGCTTTATTCTCTGTTCTCCATTTCCAACCTATTTAATTAGAAAAATAATATGCCTATTTATTGAGAAGATCTAAAGTTTATGGACGGAGCAGGATTGAAAAAAAGATCCAAAGCATATGGAGAATCTATTCTCCTCTGTATTTGCTGCCCACAATCCTACCTGAGCAATCACCCAAAATGTGCTCCACGTTTTGTTGACTTCAGAGAAGCAAAGAATGGTTTTAGATAAAGCTAGGTAAAAGGCGGATCTTATGCAAACTGACTCTCCCAATAATCCCGGAAGGGCAGCTGCTCAGATTGCAGTTCCCATCTCTTACCTGAGATGGAATATAAACACTGAAGATAGATCTAACCTCGAACATTATCAAGACCACATTTTGGCCAGCTTCTGCAAGGGAGTGCCCAAGCAAAGGAGCCTCAGTAAGGTCCAGGAGGTCAAGCAGAAGCCTAATGAGGGTTCCTTTGGAATTTTTAGATCAGTCTTTGAAGCTTTCAGGCAATAAAAGGATATTGATCCAGAAGCCCCAGAAAATTTAAAGATAGGTAACATGATGTTTATCCAACGAAGTTCCCCAGATATTCAGAGAAAGTTATAAAATGTAGATGAGGTTTTTTACATGTTCATATTTCAATTAGTGAAGATTGTTTTCAATGTATTTACTGATCACAAGTTTAAAAAGTGGAAAATACAACGAATAACGAAGAGGCAAGCTACTTGCTAGCTGTGGCTCTCACCCTAGTAATCCCTGGACCGCAACAAGGGCCCTTATCAGACATTCCATCTAAGGTAGGACCACCTGGACCCCCAAAAGCCAATAAAAAGGGACATTTCATTGCAGGTTCCAACCAGTGTTCCTATTGCAACAGGGGGGACACTGAAAACTGCCCATGTCTTACAATGTCTAATGTTGAAAGTGTTAAACAGAGTCAGCCTTCTGCCCACCAAATGCCTGGGATAGCTGGGGAGCTTGAGAGAGATACTGAAGAAAAAGACCAGAAGCGATGGGACACAGCAGCCTCACCTGACCCAAAAAACACCTTCCATATTTCCCACATGTGGCCCCAGATCCTGATGATGGTGAGAAATCAGATTCTGGACTTTTTAGTAGACATGGTGCCACCTATTTGTTGTTAAATACCTGGTTGTCTAAACTGTCCTGGGAAACTATGAAGGTGACTGAAATCTCAGGAAAAATACATTCCTCCAAACTTTGTATTGTCAGCTAGAGCAAGCTCATTTAAAACAGAGTTTTCTATAAATGTGTGA